TCTCTCTCTCTCTCTCTGTCGCTGTCGCTCTCGCTCTCTCTCGCTCTCTCTCGCTCTCTCTCGTTCTCTCGTTGTTTCTTTCTCTCTTTATCTTTTCTCTCTTTCTCTCTTTCTGTCTTGCTCTCTTTCTCTGTTTCTCTCTTTCTCTTCCTCTCTTTCTCGCGTTCTCTCTTTCTCTCTCTCTCCCTCTCTCTCTGTCTCTCTCTGTCTCCCTCTCTATCTGTCTGTCTGTCTCTCTCTCTCTCTCTTTCTCTGTCTCTCTCTGTCTCTTTTTCTCTTTCTTTCATTTTTTCTTTCTCTCTTTCTCTCGTTCTTTCTTCTCTCTTCTCTCTTCTCTCTCGTTCTCTGCGCTTCTCTCTGTCTCTGTCTCTCGCTCTGTCTCTTTCTTTCTCTCTGTCTCTCTTCGTCTCTGTGTGTGTGTGTGTGTCTGTCCGGCAGTCTGTCTGTCTCCCTCGGTCTCTCTCCGCCTCTCTCTGTCTCCGTCTCTCTCCGTCTCTCTCGGTGTCCGTCTCTCTCCGTCTCCGCGTCCGTCTCCGTTTCTCTCCCTCTCCCTCTTCCTCCCTGTCTCTGTCTTTCTCTGTCTCCGTTTTGCCTCGCTCTGTCTTTCTCTCTTTCCCTCACCGTCCCCCTCCCCCGAATCGGCTCCGCTCCTATGCTCCGAACGCTCTTTGTCGACGACGTCCAGTGGAAGGCTGAAGCGCACGCGCACAGATGCCGACACTGGACCGCAGCACCCTTTTTTTTGTCTATTTAGGGTGTCATGTGCAACTTTACATGATGCCGCATTGCTTCGAAACGAGAGGTCAGTGCCCGACGAACACACAGCTAAGGACATTGTGCAGTTTACGACTGCGCTCCTTTGATGCAATCTGAAATGCGAATACTTTCGCAACCTGCAAGGGAACATGATGGTTTCTGGTCGCTGAGGATCTACTATGCCGAAGAGGATGAGGGGCGTTTGACTGTGGACATCATGCGCTTAGGATCAATGAAAGGTTCTGTCAAAGTCCGCTATACGACAGCTGCTTGGCTTTGGCACGAAGCAGAAGGTTGTCCAAAGTAGATGAGCATGCTGATCGTGATGGGTCACATCGATGCTGACTCACTAAACTCTAAACCAATTATGTCCTCAGCCTGCTATCAGGAAGATGGTTCTGCCAAAGCAGGAGTTTCGTACGAGGAGACGTTTGGGGAGGTGATTTTCGCGGATCAGGAGAATCCTGGTCGCAATTCTGCTCAAAGCTGCCTTCGCCATCATCTGGCCGCACCTGTTGAGGTATCGACAGTCCATCGACATCAATATGATCGCAAGCCAATACTGGTCCGCAACCATGGAATTCAAGGCACGCCTGATGGAGGGGACGGGGTGGAGGGAGCCATAGAAAGAAGACAGGTGCGCTTGATGGATCCGGACGGCTGCAACCTGGGCTTTCGGCTCAGAGTGGCAGAGTTTACTGGGCAGTGAGAGGTTGCAGAGAGCTTTGGGAGCCCAGGTAATCACTTGCACACCTGCCGGGTGAAAATCATTGACACCGACACGTTTCCGTCGAGCAAGTACGAGGATCAGCTCAAGAATCTTGTAAGCCGAAGCCATGTGCTGTTTCCGTGTGTCTTCCATGCAAGTCTAGCAACAGCTTGTACAACTTGACCCTAAGGATGGGAGATGAGGGACTTGATCAAATCAGCACCTGGGCTTCAGGCACAGTCCTTGACATGTTCTCCTGCTCTGCTTGAGCACGGCCTGCTGTCGCAGTCACCTGGGAACTGTCTAAACAGGCCAAATCGATTCTCAGAAAGTCTGCCTCATGGGTGTTGCATACAAAAACATGGAGAATGTGGTGTAATTGTGGAATCCACCCCACTGGCAGAAACTGCGCGCCCATGGGATTGCGTTTGAACCAAATTAAATTGGTATTGCGAATGCAAGCAGCTGCAGATGTAAACCGCTCAAAAACCAGAACCCTAAACAGGAACTCTCAGCAATCTCAACCTCGAACACTCCTCTCTTGCCCAGGTTCAACCGGCCTCTACTGGGAGTATTGGAAGCTCTGCTTCTTCCAGGTTCCCGGTATTGCCGTTCGCACCGTCCTCACCTTGGTCTTTGATCAATTGAAGCCGCTGGGGTGCAACTTCCAAGGGGAGGGGTTTAGCAGGATTCAGAACTTTCGTTGTGCCGGACTGTTGAGGTCAGCTTGATGGCAGCCTATGTCGAATGTTTGAACCAGGTAACGCCGCCTTTTGCAAACCTGGCTTTGTCAAAAAGTGTGTTCAGCGCGTCACAAAGGTATTTTCGGAGATTCTTTTGCTGAGGTTAACAAAGTTAGAGAGACTCACTGTTTGCCTCGTTAAAAACACGGTTTCCCAGTCTTGCATGCTTTCATTCCGTTTTGGTGTTGTTGCGGTTTTCGGCATTTTTGTGTTTCTGGTGTTGGGACCAGACTGGCATCTTGACGTATGTTTTTCCTTGACTTGCGCACGCAAGCTCGCGCAAGGGCGGGCGCAAGATACATATAAGATAACATATGTGTATAGCTTTGTATTCATGTGGTCAGTGGTATTTTCGCACGTTCAAACCCAACGAAGAGCAGAAGATCAATGTGAAAGTAGGGACCGTCACCGGTGAGCCTTGACGCTTTGCCCAGCCGTGCTTGCATTCCGCTGCTTTTTTTGGGGCTTGACCCAAGCTTGCCATGCAGCAGGTAAAACGAATTTTCGGAACTTGCAGCTGCCCTGAGAGCTTGCAATGTGTAATTTATGTCTGTAGGGATTTCCGCAACGGGAATGCAGTGCGATGCTCAGAACCGTGATTGAATCCTGGTATATCTGGAGCTTTGTACCTTTGGTGGTAAGTTGTTTTTCAAAAGCATGCCAGACACATCCCGGAAATGTGGTATGTGTTTTCGCATGAGGGCTGGGTTTTGTTCAATCCCCGTAGGGCTTTGTTGGGGCTTTCTCTGCGCAGAGGTTTCGCATGAGGGTGAGGCGACATTCCAGGCAAGATAACTTCAGCGGGAGTGCGGGCGAAGGGCTACACGTGTACGTTTCGAAGCGGCTTCATCCCGTACGTACTGAAGACGAGCTGAGGAATGTTTACCGGTATTTCGTCCTGTGTCTGAACATATACCTGGTGGATGTGTTGTTCAACATGAACGACCCAGAAACAAAGGAGCGGCTTGTTCTACCCTCCCGACTTGACACGGCCTATGTTATTGCTGGCTTATATGTGGCCCCGATGCTGGTGCTCCATGCTTGGGACCTGGTGAAGGCACTGCTCGACGTGCAGGGACACCTGAGGCTTTACCTTCAGGCCAGCCTCTTCCGCCGCTACCTCAATTACAGCCCCCCGGACTGAAACAGTGCTGGAAGCTCTTTTTTAGCTTTGGCATTCATTGCTAAAGCGTTGAGGCGAGGAGTCGCGACTCTCCGTGCCTCCGACAGACATGCAGCACGCGCTGAGCCTGGGATCCAAAAGCGCTGCAGAGGGCTACACCAAGCTGATAGATCTCTTCCAGAAGTTCGGACAGCAACTTGTCTGCAAGCGGGAGCCTGCACGAAAAGATGATCGATCCACGTCAGCTTGCAGGTTGGGAGTGTTCACCTACTTCACTCTGAGAGAGAATCCAGCAGCTATCTACTTGATCTTGGCCATGCCATCCCTAATGGCACTTTTCTTGGCGTGACGCGGCTGCGTCGGAGGGACTTTTTTTCGGTTCTGTGGTGTCATCAAGGAGTCGCTGCTGTGTCAGCGGAGGTACAAGACGTGCATGCCGCTGAACCGAGATGACCGCAAGGACATCGAGGCCTCTGTTCTGGCTTTGGCTGCCGAGGTCTGCCAGCGATACCGTCTCATTGCGGACTACTTCCAACGGCCCCAGATGAACGAAATCTTTGCTCGACAGACGAATGAGCTGCGGCGGGAGTACATTCCTGAGAAGGTTGAAGCTGTCAACAACGAATACTTTCCCAAATGGTTGGGGCCAGTCTTCGTCAGTATTTACATAGCAATGGATGCAAAAAGCGTGTTTGAAGGGACGATCTCCCTGGGAACTTTCTTGGCAACCATACAAGTCATGAGGGATGTCAGCTCCGAGTTCGCAGATGCATATAACATGATTCTCGAGCTGGCGGACACGTTCGCATCGATTCAGTACCTGACGAGCTATTTCAACAAGGAAACAGACCTGCTGACCTGGAAGGGAGTCAATCGCAAGCGCAGAGAGCTGACGTCGCTTGGCTTCGCAAGCGCTTCCGTGCATGTGACAATGTCAGCGCAGGAAGTCAGAGAGTAGGCGAGAGACGGGGGAGTGTTTTTTTGTCAGACAGGTGCAAAGCCAGCTTAGGAAGGAAGCAAGGGACAAGGCTTTCAGCAGTGCGGCGGCATCGGATGGCGCTGACGGCGGGACCGAGGTCCTCTACAAGACGGACCTGATTCCAATCAAGAAGCTTGGTCGAACAGGCTGCGCAATGTCTACGTACGATATCACACGATACAGAATTACAGGACATGAGCACTTACTGAAAGAGATCCCGAGTGGGCAGTAAATCGTCAAAGCACCAGCGCTCAGCATGCAAAAACCAGCAGGGTCAAGCACTGACACAGTGACGGCAGTGTTCAGAAAGGCTGTCTGGCATGTTCTACGGGTGGATGCGGCACGAGCCTATCTTTGAGAACGTGGATGCCTCCGTCGACCAGGGCAAGCTGGTGGCCGTGATGGGCTCGCACGGGTCCGGGAAGGCGAAATTTAGCTGGAATGCAGTGCGAATGCAGATGAGGTTGCCGTGCTTGACGTGCTTTGCTGGCTTCGCCCAGGGTTTGAGCAACGCATAGGCAGTCCAAGGGATCGTGACCTAAGCCTTACTTGGTGCAGCTGAGGACGCTTCTGAAATTGCTTGGGCACATGGTGTTCCCACAGGATGGGACCATCTTCATCCCTTCACACTTGAGGATCTTGCACGTGACGCAGGAGGCATATATTCTGAACTTGTCTGCATGGCAAAACCTGATCTTCGGCTGTCCAAACCCTCAGACGGTGGACCCGCGCCGGGTCCGCAGGATCTGTGAGCGGTTGAAGATGAAGGTCACACTGGACCTGATCAAGGACGACTTAGAGAAGCAGGAGAAGCTGCGAGGAGTACCGTCACCAAATGCGGACGAGGACGAAGACTCAGGAGAGGAGGAGGAGGGGGAGAAAGACTTCAAGGGTTCCGACAGCCTCTGGCAAGAGAGCCTCACCTATTCAGAGAAGGTGAAGCTCCACCTGGCGCGAGCTCTCATCATGAATCCGGAAGTCCTGGTGCTCCAGCGGCCCCTGCACCTGGCCCGGCCTAATCTGCCTTGACCCTTAAAATGAGAGAAACTCCTTGAAGCAGCTGAGGCACCACTACGACAAGAAGACGGGGGAGTTGGTCCTGGAGCTGCTGCAAGAGCACGTGCATTTGCGGGGCCTCGAGCTCCCGGAGAAGAACAAGAAGCACCGCCGGCCCCGGACGTGCCGGGGCCCCGGCTCCCCCGCGCCTCCGCATCTGGACCTAACTCCTTCCTAAGAAGTAATTGAGGCTTACACAATAAAAAGAGAGAGAGGTCTCTCGAGGTCTCTCTCGCTGAAGTTTGTTCTTCCAAGGCTTCTTCACTGTGGAGGCCGAAACGGAGGCCCACAAAGCTGACGCCGTGTGGTACATAGACAAGGCAGCGGTTCAGAGCTACGACGATCCAGGAACTGTCACCTCCGAATTCTTTAAAGCCAAAACTATCGGCTCCTTTCACATGAACAACTGACCCAACATGACCCAACGAACTGTTGAAACCTTGCAATCCTGGAGCTTCGCCAGAAGCTGCCACCAGTGCAGCATGCGACCGCCTAAGCTTGCGGTTTGTCATACATGGCGCTCGAGGCCAACCGATCCTACGGTGACAATTGCGGGTTTCTTACTGTTGGGTTTGTTTGCTGTTGCTTCGACGACCTACGGCTTTCACCTCGCCGTTGCCACCTCAAGATTCGCTTGCTGATCCAGTTAATCCTGAGCTTAAAACAGCGGTACAGCCCCCGCAGCTTAACAACGTCGTGCTAAGAGCCCTATGCATCGAGCTGGTGTTGAAGATGCCAACTCTGCAACACTGGCATGTTCACGCAGAGACTTGCATAGGCGTTGTGAGGGTCTCGCTTCCTTGCATCAGCTTGGTGATATGTGGCCAGGGAATATCAACGGCAATGCTTTTGGCCGAGGTTGAGCGTCCCTGACTAAGAGTCTCTACGCGAGGCGAGATGCTGCATGTGTGAGCATCAGACTTGGCAGGTTCCGTGCAGGCGATCTGCACGCGGCTCATGGAACCACATGTGGAGGCGCCATGGCCTGTTTGACCTGCATGTCTGTGGTGGTGCTCCAAACCGAACCTAAGTGCTGTTAGAAAGGCAGCAGCGGGAACGCTCGTGCAGATCGACGGCTTGTGGGATCTTGCCAAAGCGCCGTCCTGTGGCTGTACCGGGCCTGATCAGAGTGTGACAAAACTTGACGAACTCAGGCCAACTCTAGGAAGCTCATTGACATGGACCATGCCCGTGTCTCGGGACTCTTTGCCCGGTTTGTGAACAGAGACAAAGAATGCGCCTGCAGGTCTTCCGCAATATGCAGGAGGGGCTTCTGAAAATGGATGGCTTGCGTCTCCTCCTCCATGACTCCTAGTATCTCTTGTCTCTCAAGGTTTGCATCGATCGGCCAAGGCACGGATCTCGATCGCTTCGATTCCACCCTCAACAAGCAGGCCACGCATTCTCGGTAACGGGCATGGGACGCCTGAAACAGTGCCTCTTTTGTCGCATTTCTTTTGCTTTTTTTCTTCATTGTTTGTGTCTACGAAACGCCGAGTCTTCTCGGGCATCTTCGGGGTCCACGTGGCAGCGAGGGTCGAGATCGCGATTGTGTGCTTCTTTCGGTTATTGGCGAGACAGGCCACGGAGATGGAGAGCATGATCGAGCGATACGAGGCGGGCTGCGATACCCCGCATCGCTGCTTCGTCACCTGGGAGTCTGTTTGAGGTCGAGCTGCAGCAGCTGAAGATGATCACGAAGCAGAAGGACGGGCTCCGTGAGGTGTTTTTCTTTCGCAATCCTACTTAGTCTTCGCACGGGTGCCCAGCAGCCCTGTGGGCAGGAAGAGGGTCATCTGCAGCAGCGGCGTGCCCTCGACGCCGTGCGGAGCGGGTCCTTACGGAGGGAGTCCGTGGGCCCAGCACAGCGACTTTGGGTACTACCTCTCAGCCTGAGGCACGAGCTCCAGCACCTCCAGTGCGGGGCTTCACGTCTCTTTGCGTACAGGGTGGTCGGAGTGGCTGCGGTCAGGAAGCTGCAGTCCAGCTGCGAACAGTCCTTCTTCTCAAGCTCACCGCTCGGGCGGATCAGTGCAGTGAGTAGCTGCAGGTGCCGTGCTGCCCGCGTGTGCAGTTGAGGTCTGGAGCAGAAGTTCGGAGAGGCCACTCCTGCCTGCAGCCCTCTTTTAGTTCACACCGAGACCCAGCATGCCTGGAGCCAATGCGTGTCAGAGCCAACTCTCCCCAAGCATCCTGAGAGCACGGCAGGGCCTGAATCTGAAGAGTCGTGTTGTTTTGTTGTTTTGGATGTGCTTGGTGAGAAGTGTTGTCAGTTGGCACCCCTCAAAGCAGACGTGGAGGCCGCAGGCTCAGGGGTCTCGGGCCGTCTCGGGAGCATAAGCATCCTCGATGCGTGCCAAAGACCGTAAGAGCATCCGAGGCAAAGATCACGTCCATGGAGCTGAAGCATCACACCCTCACCGATCAGGCACAGATCTGGTACCTTATCTGTGCACAACATGCTTCGTCTTGGGCCCCAGGTCTGGAGCAGCAGCTCAGCTCAGCAAGTCGCAGTTAATAGTCGGACTACTCGGACGGAGCTGAGGTGAGTGTGCCATCGCCAAAGTGTCAGGGGAGCTCTGCAACTTCCAAGATCGCTTCGACCAGCTGAAGGAAGCGGAGCGCTTGGGGCACCCTGCCTTCTAGCCTGATTTGCCAGCCACTGGCCGATGTTTTTGTTGTTTCTTTTATCTCTTCCTTTCCGTGCGGTTGCTGGTTCCCGTGCGCGGCTTCGGGCAGGTATATATTCGTGGTGCATCGTGGCCAGATCGTGGCTTCCAACCCCTTGAACTTGAACTCAGGTGGTCCTCGGCCTCGAAAGCGAGCGCGACACTCGCAAGAAGCCCTTTGCCTCGATTTCGCTCTGCAATTCCCTCCTCTCTTCCCAACTGGTACTTCTGGAGGCTGGAGAACATGCAGCAGGAGCTCGCAGATTGGAGCGGGCCTCGATGCAGAGCGGGAAGTTCTTTCGGGTTTCCCATTCCCGTCTCTGACTTCGAGGTTGGGACAATCTCGCTTCGAGGTGGCGCTGCGCTCCCGTCGTCGCGGGTGCTTCCGCGTTTGCCCGCTCGCGCTTGCGAGGCCGCCTCGGTGAGGAAGGCGCCGGCTGGGCCTAGAATGTGGGGTGGGGCGTGCGGTCTCGTGGTCGACTCGCTGTGATCCTCTCGATCCTGCAGGCGTTCTCTGCTGCCGTGATGGCCAACAAAGAAAGCCTCCAAATAGGGTGACCCTGGCAAGCTTGCTCCTAGTCGGTAGACCCTGCTTTGGATGTCTTCGCTTACTTCGTCAGGTTGGATGTGGTGCCAACCTTATGATCCCGACATGTCTATCTTGTTAGATTGACTCGTGTCGTGGCGCTAGTTCCATGTCGTATCTGCTTCTTGGGCATGTTCAGGCTGCCAAGCAAATTGCTAGCTTCATGGACGAAGTGCGCGGCTGTCTTAGAGTCTTCTGCTTGCAGCCTGCCATGGCGCCCCCGTGTGCTCACACCTGCCATCATTGCTGCCTGGTACCTCCTCGTAGGTGCTGAAAACCAGAAGCTCCTCGAGCAGACAGCTGACATCCAGCGAGAAACGGGCGTGACCTGCAGTGGCTTCAGGACTTTGCATAGCAGCGAGTGGTCCGTCTCATGTCAAGCTCCGATTGGGTGAGGGCGGAGCTAGACGAGCACCAGCGGCAGCGGCAGCTGGCGGATGCGCGGACGGAGGTGCATGGGAGGGTGAAACAGCCAAGCATTTCTCGTCGAGAGGTCCTCCTGCTGCCCTGCATCGCTCCTCCCCCCCTTTTATCACTCACCGAGGCCATCCTGAGCGAGTTGCGGGAGGCGGGAAGGTGACTGCTGTTCTGTGGCACGAGCTAAGCTCGGGAGGCCTTGGATGAGTACGACCGCCGGAGGAAGCATCTTGATGAAGAGTGCGCCGGTTGTGCATGAGTGTGAGATGTCAGAGCCAGAGCTGAGGCGCGAGAGAACCACCCTCGAGCTGGAGATGAAGGAAGCGAAGCAGCGAGTGAGGCACCCGGAGCCTCCGTCCAAGCCTTGCACGCAGGAGGTCGGACAGCAGCTGGCCATCCTCCACGGACTGCACACTACAAGAGCCCGTCACGGGAGACCCAACTGTGCCGCATTAACTTCTTCAGGATCTGTCGAGAACGCGGTGCGAGGTCCGAGACGTGGCAGATGTGACATGCGCACAGTGCGTACCGCATGGCTGGAGAGACGTGTTGTCACACCCGCATAATTACACCGCCATCCTGCGCAGCTTGCAAGAGCCTGGACCCGCTCTGCGGTGCGCTGGTGGAGGCGCCGGGGGGCGAGAGGCCGCGTGGGCCGTGGGCCGCGCGCACGCGGAACGTATGCCCAGGTGTTGGCCATGCAGGTGTCCTTGGAGCGACAGGTGCGGCCGATCCGGTGAGTCCGAGACAGGTACTGGGTTCATGCCATGCAGGAGTTCGCAGACTGGCATCGAGTATCCTTGGTTGGGTACAAGCCAGTCTCTACCACCCAGAAGCCAACTGAGGCTTTCCAGAATTGTGCTACACGTCGCACGGATTTCGGCATCTGGTATAGGTGTCTGTTGACCTCTCAGCGGCAGGTGGATGACACATCGAAGTCTCCGTCGAAGTCACCGCCCAAAGCTCCCAAACAGCGGCAGCCCTTGAAAAGCGAGGCCCAGGCTTTTGCGATGCCCATCTCAGAACACGCTTGTCCAGGTCGCCTCGAAAGAAGGGGGACCCCTCCCAGGTGCGTCGCCGCAAGGCTTTTGGACGTGCCCCATGCTTTAGCACTTGGCTCGCGGCCTCAGATAATCAGCCTGGACAAGCGCTGCTACTCGTGCTGCAGCCAAAGCCAGATGGTCATGGCCGGGTTCAAGCCGGGAGCCCCGATGTGCCTGAAAAATGGTGCATCCATAAATGTGTGCCATGGACCAGGATGGCATGTCTGCAGTACAAGCCCTCGCCGGTTGCCTGCAGTGGAGGAGAGATCTCCACGCTTCTTCTGTGCTCACGAGCAAAAGACCCTTCCTTGCCCAAGCGCTCGTTTTTCGGGCGCTCGCGTGCAGAGAGGCCTCCTGGAGCGCGTGGAGCTCTTCGATCGCATGGCCGCTGAGCCGCAGAGCGAAGCCTCGTCTGCCGCTGCGAGCGCGCGCGTGCGCTTCTCCTGCTGTTTTTTGGTGCGGTTTTGGGCGCGAAAGGAGCAGCTGCTGGAAGCGGCTCGCGAGCGTGTCCGCTACAATCGCGACGAGGAGGCCCCCCCGGTCCCATGGCTTTCTCGTGGGATGCGGATTGAGAGCTTCTCTTTGCGAAGGTGCTGCTGTCCCCGTTGCCGGGCCTGAAGCCCAGTTCAGGGTGGGTGATGCTTTGGAAGCATACAGCTGCTGCACATGTGGTCTTTTGGGAATTTCGAGAGCCGTGCGAAGTGCGGCAAAGAGGCCGAGAGGCTACTGCCACTGCTGTGTCTGCCTTGTGCTTCGCTCTTCGGCTCCCAAGTGGGGGCACACTAGCGCGGGGGGCAGTAGTCGCTACGGCGAAAGAAACGCTCACATCCCCAGATAAGAGCGGAAAAGAAGAAGGGCTGAGCCATTTCACCTGCCACCCCCAAACTGTTGATGTGCTGTATATACTGCCAAAAGAAGCGGCGCCCCGGAGAGTCTCCGCTGCGTCGAACTGTCTGATTCACTTTGTGTTGATGCGTATCAACCGACTGTGCTCAGTTCGCCAGACGTGCCTCAAGTCCCTAGATGGGCCGTACACTCGTAGTCAGGTCGCTCGTCATACGGGGTCGAGGAAGTCCAGCATGTCTGGTAATGAGGCCAGCAAGATCCGTTGTCATGGGTCGGGAGGAATCTTCGTGTCAGGATTCTTCTTGTCAAAAACTAAAAACCAAGTGAACGTGGAAACCTCCCGTCTCACGACAACGCAAAAGGAGCGACAGCCTTTTCCCGGAGTTTCACGTGCAAGTCTTTTGAATCTCAGGACAGGTGCTCGCGCGCGGAGGAGCAAGAAGACGCTACTTGTAGAAACAGAAGAACGAAAGGAAGAAAGGGCGCAAGAGAGCATTTGGCCAATGTGCACCCTACCCGCTACCCGATTGGCCTGCGAAAGCATTCGGAGCGGCCCTGAAATGGGAGTGCCGAAGCATGCGCCACGGGCACATGGCCATTGCCTCAGGTTCCGGAGCAGATCCGCCATTGGCCCGCGGCTGAGATCTAATGAATCTACTGCCTAAAGTTGTCGCGCCGAACGTGTTTATGAGACATGCAGGCCGATTCTGCTCGAGTGCCGAAGGCCTAGAGGCCCTCTCCAGTCACTTGCATGAAGCTTGTGCCAAGCGCAGGCAAAGGCTCTTGCTTTGCCCGCCTTATCTGCAAGGTCGGAGTTCTATATCTCATGGTGTTCTCAAGGCTTTCGCCGCATCCTGGCAGGTGAGGCACCCTTCATGCTGAAGGCAGAGGGTCCTCCTCGACCGACGTGTGCTTATGCACCTGAAACGGCGCTGGAAAGCCGAGTCTGATCGAGTCTGGCGAAGTGCATAACCAATCTGTGAGTGAATTGACCGCCAAGTCCCTATGTGTCCTTTTTCAGACTTGAGCTGAGATTTAAGATGCTCTGGCTTGGTGCAAACCGCCACCAGGGTCTTTTGTACAAAAATGCGAGCTCTCTCGCTTTACAGCCTGCGGCACCTTGGGGCTGTGGCCGCTTGGCCACATCTCTCTTCAGGGAGAAGGCCCTGGCCCTGCCAAAAACTGGCATCGGGGCTCCGAGACCCCTGCAAGGCGGCTCTTAAGTGGACCAAGCAGAGGAAGGGAGGTGTAGACCCACTTTCCGAACACTCCAAGCCTCGCCCGCCTCGCCCCGACTCCCCATCGACAATTTTGACTGCTTGCCGTGCTGGCTCAAATTTTGGAGACGGACCCTGGAGAGACCGTGTTCCAGAGGCCCGTTCGTCGCCCCCTGTCTTGCTGTCTGCATGCGCAGTCCCTCCTCTTTTGCGCGGCGACGCGAACTCTGGAAGGCTCCTGGCGATGCTTTCGGTCGCAAACTATTTGAAGCATCTCTTCTGCAAAGACACAAGGATTTCGAAGGCACAGTCGTTGCAGAGTCCTCCAAGGAAGCCTCGGCGCGGTGAGCCACCACCCAGCGATGTAGGGCCAGGGTCCGCAACCGAAACCGGTTCGGGGATTGTGTCGGAGCCTCAGAGGCTTCCGTGACGAACTTCTTTGAAGAGCTGTGCCTCTGCAGGCAGTGCTTGAGAGTGAAGGGCTTTTGCGTCATTAACCATGCTGTCTCGGAAAAGTGGCGCCTGCCTGTTTGGGTTAGCACCCCTTCATCAGCACGCAGCCAAGCTGCATCGCCAGGATGGTCGCAGGCGCATCCGCCGAACTAGAAGCCCAAGAATGGTACCAGCCGGCAGTCCTGATTCAGGTGAGCCGGGCAGCCTTTTGCTTTTCACAGTGACAGCTTTGAGAACCCTCTGCCAGGAAGGCTTGCTCGGCGTTGAGGGTTCAAATCGAATTGCCAAAATGGCATCAATCGACTTTCCTGAAAGCAGCAGCGAGCAGTTTCAGGCCAGACACCATCTGTTCCTTTGCAGCCGCCATGTGTGAGATGCGCACTTGGTTTGGCACAGGATGGCCTCGCAGGCATAGATTTTGCAATGTGGAAGCTTGCGGAGGCTCCGGCAGTAAGTCAGCAAGAACCGAGTCTCTCGCTGAGACAGCCCAGGCCATCGGCCCTTTCCAGGACCGCGATCGGCCCACTCGGGCCTATGATAGGGGCACATTTTGTCATCAAGGGATGCCTGCCATCAGTGCCCTTCCAGGACGAGATCGGTTTCCGATGTTGCGGTCGGAGTGTAGGGTTCCTTCACCAGGCCTTCTTGGGCCGCGGTCGCAGTTTTGGAGTCTCTTCCTGGGCGCTGAAACAAGGCGAGCGACCCCGACTTAGAAGAGGCAGAGCTCACCGACCAAGAAGCCAGCGACTGGCCCCGGCCTTGAGTCGCATCACGTCCCACAAAAGCGACGCATTTGCCGCACTGCCTTTGAGGAGCGCCATCTTCACAAGCAGAAAGATTCTGATTATGGTCTGTTTAGGCGGCTCTGCGGCTAGGTTGGGTCGTACAGCTGTATCATCTGGAGCGCGAAGGCCCTGGCAAAGGGACCCTAGAAATGCAGCCCTACGACGACGAGCACTTGCCTCAAACACTTGCGATTCCATCTTCCAGACCAGACTGCCCCTTCTGGGAACGAAACGCCTGTTTCGGTGGGGCAGGGCGAATGTCTCAGAGATCACCACAGTGCCCGGCCTTGTGGTCGCGGCCCTAAGGGGTGCACTCCAGAACTTGCGGACGCAGGCAGAGCAGAACACAAAAAGCCTAAGTGCAGGTCGTGCTCCGCACGGACCAGCTTTCCTTCAAGTTCTTCTGCAGAGGACGAGAGGCTTGCAGCACTTTGAAGTTTGCAACACTTGCATCAACTTGTCGTGTACGAGGCCACTCATGTGGCCACCTCCTTCATGCTGCAGAACGACATTTTGCGAATGCACAGAAACAAGTCCGGCCTGCATGTTTTTGCCCAGCGGCCTCAGCGCCTTCAGCCGCTCTGTGTTCTTTTTTTTGCCAGGCTGGAGGCGCACCTTACTCCACCCGCCCAAGAACTGGACCAATGGATCGACCAGCGCCTACGGGCGACGCTGCTTCGCTTTGAGCGGTGGAGCCTGAGCCGCATCGCCTCTGCTCTGCTCTGCTCTTTTGCCAGGAGATCAAGGAGATGGAGCCCGAGGAGACAGAGGATTGGACCGCCAAGGGAGACGTCCCCAGGACCGGGTGTGTTTGTGGTGGAGTCAGGAGTCGACAGAAGGAGCTTGGAGCCGAGAGAACCCCTCCTTTGCAGGAACTTTATCCATGCCGCGAATCGGACTTGGTTCAAGCGCCAGACCACGGTCTGCAAGGGTGCAGCTGCCAGGCGCCGGGCATTTCCAAAAAAAACGACTAAGAGACTCCGCGTCTTCTTCGTTGCAGGTTACCAGTAACCTGGGAGCCGGAGGTGTTCTTCCTGGGCTTGACAGCAGGCACCACGTGCGATTCTGCATGGTCGCGGGGGCGTGCGGCTCGGGCATGAGGTGCCGACACAGTGATCGAAGTTCCCATCATGCGATGGGAGCATGATACAGTGCAGCTGCCTCAGTCGGCACTGTTTGCTGTCATGCTGCCGGATGCCGGTTTGCCTCCCGGACATGACTCTAAGAATGCTGCCGAGGTACGACCCTTCCCCCGATGCGTGGAAGAAGGATCCGCCCATGACGAATTGCAGGTTCCCCCCTCACTTGCAGCACTAACTAGAGCGGCCTGTGTCTTGTGTTAGGCACGCTTCCTTCGTTGACGGCGTTGATCTCTTTGACAACAAGCTCTTTGGCTTGTCCCTGGCGGAGACCAAGGGCCAGGGACCGAGAGACCCAGGGACCCAGGGACCCAGGCTGCCGACCCCCCTTAGCTGCCCAGGCATGGACCCTGGCCAACGCCTTGTGCTGGAAGTCACCTACGATGCGCTCTACAGGAGCCTACATAAAGATCTGGCCGGTGAGATGTTGTCTGTCGGTCCTTGTCAAGGAGTGGCATGCGGAAGAACACACTGATCAACTCCACGTGTGGTATGTATGTCAGGGGCACAGCCGCAAGCCAACAGCAGCACGGCTTTGTGTTGCAAGGGCGGCTCGTGGGTTCTGTGAGACGCAGGTTGGAACTTCCATGAGCGAATGGAACTCGGCGGAAAAGGCTGCAGATGCCGCTCACCTAGTGCCCACTAGGCCGCAGGCGAAGAGAGTCTCGCATCGTCTTGAGGTTGGTATCTTTGGTGCTACGGGAGGAGCTCCGAGTATCACTGCTGGTCGCTGGGAGCCCGAACATGGGGAGGTGCACCTGGTCTCAGAGTCTCAGCTGGCTCCAGGTCTGAGCTTTTGCCTTGGATGCAAAGGGGCCAGTTTAGCCATCGACACGGAGGCAGAGAGCTGCAAAGAAGGAGCTCTCAGCGAATGATGTGTGTCGGAGTCTGCAGAGAGGCCGCTTCCGGGCTGTCCGCTTGCTTTTGGGCCGCCGAAGCCGTGGAGAAGAAGGGCGCTGGTCACATCCAGGCCGCGTGCATGCACCCGCGCACGACGGCTGAGACGAAGTGATGTTGCCGGCCCTTGCCGTTGCAGGAGCTCTCCTGCGGTATCGGCGTGCACCTTTGCCTGGCAAAGGCCTGCTATGGGACGATGTGGGATGGATCACGTCTGGAGCCTCTTTCGACGTCAGGCATGGTGGCCGGCCCACACTGCGGCGGGCTTCCTTTGCCCAGGGGGGCGCTCCTTCACCTTCGACGCAAGCGCACAGGGCCATGTGAGGCACCACACTGCCCTTGTGGTATGCAAGGTTACCATTTTATTTGCGATGCCACCCAACCAGTATCACCGGCAAGCATGCTTGAACCATCAAAACAACGCTCTCTGTGGCGGTGCAGGTCGGAAGGCGTTGGCACCGTGGTGCTTCGATGTCAAGAGAAGATGGACGGTCAGGAGGCCCCCATCGGAAGACTCTGTCGCCAGTTCGGCTACCAGTAGGGATGGTGGGGTCTTTGATGCTTGCGCCGTGCCAGGAGAAAGATGACCTGTCGGTTGGTACCATTGTGGGTGGTGCCACCCAGAACAGTGGCAAAAGCGCTGGAATGCCTTGGTCCAAGCTCCATTCGTGTCGACTAGGACTAGGATGGCAAGACTTTGGAGCTGAAGGACTGCCCCTTCCGGTCCTGCAGAGCAGGCCGTGCTGGTGGAGGTGCCTCTTTCGCCCCAGCCCTTCAGGCCCTGGCCCTTGGCTTGATGCATCAAGCTGAAGGCCTGCAGAAAGTCGGGCATCACCACGTTGGACGTGGATGTCGTCGAGTGCCACGGATCGGGCCGCTTCATTGCCGATGCGATCGAGGTCCCAAGCAGCAGAGACTGCGAAGTTTTTCACCGCGTTTTGCGCGCGTTTTGCGTGCGCGCGTCTGCTGCCTCTGGGCGGACGACGAGGGGACGAACGGGGCCGTCTCTGAGGCTGCCTCCTGCGGCCGAGCCTTGAGAGACGGTGCCGACTCGAACGAGGAGGAGATGCGCGGACCCCTGCTGTGCGCGCGAGCTTTGTGTGTCCAAGATCGCCGACTTGATGGCTGTGTTCTCTGGCCAAAAGCTGTTAGGCGTTGCAACTAGGTAAGCACGAAAGGCTCAGTAATGCCATCTCCTACAGCTACAGAATGCAACAAGAGCGCATTCACGATCAGCTTCAGGCTTTGAAATATCTTAGTAAGTCTTAGTAGAGGTCACAGTTCCGAGTCTTGCGATGGCATGCGCTCGCAATGCATGGCCTGCGAGCTTTCGCGTGCCATGCTGCAAGGGCAGGTTCGCATCTCAAAGCATGTTCAGTGCTGCATCGTGAGAGCAGCTACTGTGATGGCTTTTGGGGGGTTTGTCGTGGCACAAGGCCTGGCGGGCTCGCTGACCGTGCAGGTGCCCTGGTGGACAGATGTCTCAAGGTTGAAGACTTGTCGTTGCTGCTCCATAGCTCCATACACCCTCCACCTTTCTCTCTCGAGGACTCAGAGAGAGACAGAGACAGAGAGAGAGAGAGAGAGAGAGAGCACAGGGGGTAACTCCTGTGTCCATAGCCCTGGCGAAAGAAAGAGATCTTTGAGACGAGAGAAGGCCCAGCAGCGTCGTCGCGAACCGACTCACTGCTGTTCCTTGCCGCGAGCTTTCTCCCGGCAGCATCTCGGCTTGTTCCTGTCGGGGAAAGCGCAGCTGCGCTTTGCCGCTTTGCACAGGCAGCTGGGCTGGGCTGGACAGCGATCCAGAAGGTCCAGGGCCTGCGCCGGTGACAGCCCCCTGCCGGAGGCTTCAGCTACAGCTTTCTGAGTTTTTGCGGACGGCCGACATGGATGCGAGGTTAGCAGGCTGCGTGCGTCGCCTCTTCTCGTGCTGTTGCACGTGTGCGTTCTTCTCCGCTAAACCACATGTTTTGGGGATTTTTCCTTCAAGACCAGTGGGGCGTGCCTGAATCGGATGGGCGATGAAGCCAATGTCAGGGTTGTTATGCACCGCCAAAGTTCCAGGCCCTCGCACGCCGACAAGACCGAAAATGAACTCAGGCGTAGCGCTGTCGCGCAAAGGGGTGGGGAGCGCGCTTCCTTGTCCTCCACACCCCAGCAAGCAAGCAAGCAAGCAAGAGAGAGAGAGAGAGAGAGAGAGCGCGGTCATATTGCTGAAAGTCTGTCGCATCCTTGGTAACAAGAGTCATTATGACCCCAATGCCTCCCACTCCATCACACAAAGGGTGGGAGGGCGGGCCAAAGGCCTGAGGGTCGCAAACATGCGACCCCTTTTCCCTAGAAAGAAAGAGCGCGGTCATTTTGCCTCAAGTGTCGGGAAATGCGGGTGCATGCGAGCACGTCGCGTTCCGCACCGCAGCTCCCTCAGAGTAGGTATCGGTACCGGACAAGCGACACAGTTGCCGGCGCGTGAAAGAGCCTGGATGCACAGGGAAGGTTATTGAAGGGTCGCCCTGCTTCAGGCCTGTAAGCAGAGGATGGCAAGATGCCAATCCCGGTGACCATGAAGTTCTTTCCACAACATAAGTAGGCCACTCCGGAGTTTTGGTGGGGGGGGCTCCTTTTCATCCTCTCCGTCTTGACTTGATTGAAGTACCATGCGTCGTGGGTTGGAAGGCCGCCGATAGCTCCTGTGAGTCGTGGGTTTGCGGGCTTCATCAAACAGTTTCAGTGTGCCCTTCTAGAAACACTGTTCGCGTCGTCATGCCTTCATGTCCAAATGAGACTTGAGGAAATTTCTCACCCGCAAACGCTCCACATTTTCTCTTCAAAACGAAGTGACACAGACCAGATTCTGAAGGAGGTGAATCGATGAGCAAACCCACCGGCGCATCAAAGTTAATGATTGTCACTGCTATTTGTCAGGGTGCTAGTAACTAGTATGGGGCACCCATTGCGGGCCATCGTGTCTGCCCTTCAACCTTAGCAATCTGATACCATTCGAGTTGTTCGGCGCCTTCGCCGGTACAGCTTCGTAGTAGTTGAAGGCCACAAGAAAACGCTCCATCCTGCAACAACATGGCATTGGGCATTGCTTGCGCTGTCAAGGAGAGCTTGTGCGAATCGCAACTTTGATCAACAAGCTTGTGGACATGGACGGTTGGGACGAAGACCAAGAGCAAGAACTCTTTGAGCTCTCGGTGTCCGCTTGCTTGGAAGTGATCTGCAAAGGTTTGGCACCGCCGCATTACGACATGCTCCACACGCCAAGAGGCCCCTCGGTCCTGACCTCTGCCTGTAGGAGGTTTCCCAAAAGGCGGCCGAGGTTGTTAAATGCGTGGAGCCGGTACAGAGCTGAGGGCTGCTCGGCGAGAAGTCCGTGGCCCTCTTGACGGCGAACTTGGTACAGCAGTGCCAGCGGGAGTGCACTTTCCCGTACATGGACGAGCAGGACAAGATGAGGACGATTCGTGCTGTCGTCTGGGTCATCGTGGGGTCTTTGCAACCTGGCCGGACAATCCGCTCCTACACCAAGGAGCTCTGTCGGGATGAGGAGTCTACCCAGTCTGTGGTGGTGGAGGTTTTCATCGAGGGAGCAATGGATGTTTTTTTCGACAGTGAGATGCGCCACGCTTTGATTCAGGACCTGAAGTCACATATCCCCGACCTCCCACTGGTGCCGTTTCTCTTCGAGAACATCGCTGAATTTCTTATGAAAACGTTCAGCGACACATTACATGAAACACTCAAAGATGCATACTTTGTTTTCGTCGATGCTCGCAAGAATCGTGAAGACCTTCCAGTCCTCCCGGCGGTTCTTTCCGGCGACCTGCAAATGCAAGAGAGCCTTCTGATGCAATACTGCGGCCGGCCCTTCATGTTGCAGCTTCGACGTCTCCTCATCGACCGTTTGTTGGAGGACAACTCCAACAGCCTTCCGATGTTTATATCCAAGCTGTCCTTGAGAACACAGGCCTTGGTCCTCGGTCGCTTCGTGGATCTGCTGTTCAGGGCTTTGCCGGGATTGGCCAAAATCGAGGACACTGTCCAGCCATTCCACCGATTTATGCACGACTCCTCACGCGGCCTGCATCTCCCGACGCCGGCGCATCCTGCTCCGGTTCATGTAGACATGGTGCCTTTGGATGACATCAGTACTGCTTGGCACAAGCAGTTGAGGGAGTCACTTGGACGATGGCGAGACACTTGTCGGCAACTGCAGGGCACAGTCTATATCCGCGTTCTATCTTTTCTTGCTGTTCCATTGCAGTCTCTGTCTTTCGCTCAGGATGCGTTTGCGCGCACGCGCCGGCCCGAGGAGTTCCGCCCGCTGCTCAACAGAGAACGGCTCTTGGTCGGAAGCGGGTTGGCACGCGGCCAAAGCTTCGAGAGCGCGGATGAAAGCCCGGGATCGAGCTCCACACCCAGGTCCAGCGCCGCATACTTCGAGCGATACGAAGCCGAGCTTGAAGAGCTCCGACAGGAGGATCTCTCCTTCAAGACTTTTCAGACGAGCCCCAACAATTTGGAGCGCTCACCGAGCAAAAATTCAATGCAGCTGTAGAAGCATTTTGAAGTAGCCGAAGCCGTCACCATTCTTGGCTGGGCCTCCTTTAGGGAGCGGCTTCTGGATATTGTTAAGAATTGTACAGGGAGGAAATACGTGTCCGGAACCCATTACACAGAGAGCAGTCCGGCGGCTGGGCTGCCGCAGCAAGTTCGTAAAATTTCGCTGTATGGGGATGACCATGCATGCTCTCGCACAATCGGTCATGCAGCTGTTCTTGAGGGGCCGTGTTGCGCAACCAGGTTGCAGCTGTGCAGCATGAAGACCAATATCGGCAACTGCATTGAGACTTCTGGCATCGCAAGCTTGATCAAGACGTTCCATAGCATCAGGCACGGTAGATAGAAGCCTCAATCGTGGACTGGTGCGGCTGTATTGCCAGGTGGGGCATTGTGTGTGCGAACAACCACCTGAACCAGCTCAACCCACACTTGGACATTTCAAGCTGCCCGTGCTGCCGGCATGTGAACGCTTCGCCGGAGTTCATGCTAGTCGCTAGTCCTCTTCTCGTGGCCTTGTAGAAGCCTTGCGGTTGCTCCAGGCTCCTGATGTGTACCGAGCCCACGGAGCAGAAGCTCAGCGCTGTCTTTGTGGGCGTTTCCTCCTGGGGTTTCGGAGGAACCAACGCCCAAGACCAAGCTACCAAGCCCAGGGCCCTCGAAAGGGTTTTTTGCTCCAACTACGAAGCGCAAACCTGCCAAGGTCCACATGCACTGCTACGGAGGCGTGGACGAGGCGTGCCCGGGTTCTGCTGGCTGGGTCGGGAAGTTCCAGTCTCGCACTCGAGCTGTCCTCAGGAGATCCGCCTTCCGCCAGAGCCAACCCCACAGGAGCTGAGACCAAGGCATGCACCTCATGCCCTGCCTGTTGTGGGGGTACCGAAGCCTCACAAGCTTGTGTCATTTGGAACTGGAGCCGCAGAAATTCCCTGGAGATGCAACTCGCAAAATGATGTGACCTGGTGGGGTAGGCATGTTTTGGCAAGTTCTCTGCGTCTAATTTAACTGATAGCAAGAGTCAAGACAAGCTTCCTCAACAGCTTCATCACCAACATGACTGTTGTTGTCATGCACATGGCAAACACCGCCTTGCCCGAAAGATGCGAGGCTGTCTTACTGGCCGAGTGGCGGTGGTGACCTGGGAAGCATGAGCCGGCCGCGGAGGCGCCTTAACTTGCCTTAGTACGGGATACAGCTCATAGCTTCACAGGTCTTCGAATTGAGGCGAGCAAATGCGAGCAAACATAGTGCAGAGATGGTAGCTCCTAGTCTTGCAGCGATGGTGGCAGTTATTCCAACTAGCACGCACATAGCAGGGGCAAAAACAACTACAATTGTCAGAGATCACCGCAAAACGGAAAAAGCGGGATGCTGTTAAGGCGGTGCTTAGTGACAGCTGGTATAAAATTGGTATGAGTCCACAGTGAGCTAGCTATTGGTTGTACCTAGCTTACGCTTACGAAAGTATTCAGTGTAACTTTACGAAGCATTGGTCGACACACCGGAAATGGTATTCAACAGTAAGTCAGCACGAATGCTAAGGTAGTTCCAATGAGCACAACATGATTTGCAAGCTCATCTAGGAGTTGCATATCATTACTGGCGAGCTAATTGACGATTGCATCAAGCAGCTCAAACGCTGGCCAGTCCGAACTTCCTGTCATGCAAAGATCGATCAAGACTCACAAAGGATGATTTCAGAATTGTCCAAGGGGCTTTTCAATCTCAATACATACTTAAGCTACTTAAGCATGAGTATGTTGTACACGAAAGAATAAAGTCAGATATAGGTAAGTAGTTGTTGGTTCTAAGCCTAACAACCTTCGGCATTTGATTACGCATCAGTCCTCGATTGATCGATTCTTGATGTGTTTCCCCAAACAACCAATCAAGAATTGAGTAGCCACCCAGGTAGAGTAAGCATGAACTCCAGCTCGTTGATCTCAGTTTGGTGCATGGTTATTCAACTGCAATGAGTTAGTTAATGACTGGTTATGTGTACATCAAGGTAATGGTTCGGGCAGTAATACTGTAAGACATCATCAGAACATAAATAGCGAAGACTTGGTGACCGTTCAGTGTTGTTGAACAGTTGCACAATCAATAACTAACAGAGAGTTGACCCATCACGTCTTCAGCAGCGCATAGCCAATAGATCAACACTGAACAATAAGCTAGCAGTCGATGACTACATATTAGCAGTTGAGCGGCATCTATTGGGAAACCAGGCATTAGTGAGATCTTTTATGACTGTTCCTTTTCTCAAGAGAGCTTAAACACAGTACGCCACAACAGCTGCTTGACGCAAAGTTTCAGTGAGCCTGAACTACTAGCAAATAGCTACCGGCCATTAACTACTAACCACGAACTACTGACGACGACGACAACAACGACGACTACGACTACTACTTCTGCTGCTACTACTTCTGCTGCTGCTGCTGCTACTACTACTACTACTACTACTACTGACTACTGCCACTATTGAATTATTGTCACTAGGTAGTACTGCCACTACTGGCCGAATGGTATTGCGAATGCGGGGGGCAAACAAAAACATGTCAATTTCATACTAGGGATCCGAGAAAGGATCGTAACTTGGAGAAGACCGGAATAGCCGCCCGAAGGACTGACCCTGAGCAGTTCTGATCGTGCCAGGGGATTCTTCATCATTGGCTCATGGAGCGGCTGGACCGAGCCGGAGCCGATGGAGGCGAAGCGCCGACAGAGCAGTATGGGAAAGACAAGAAAGAAACGTTCTGTTCAGAAGAAGCATTTTGAGCCAATTTCTACGGTTTTCCGATGGAGTTCCTGGTCAATGCCTGCATCGTTGCTGGTTTCGTAGCAACAGGACGAAGGGGATGGCTGCCGCGGTCTCGGACTTCTCTGTTTCCAGTAGAATGTAAGCTTTCCAGGTTATTTGATACCCATGATGGAGTCCATGGCTATGGGTTAAGGCTATGGCTACACGCTTGTCCTCGGTGATACGAGATGGGCTGGGACCCCGGCAAGTGCGTCCAGGTCTACGAGCTACAAGCATCCCTGGCTTTTGTTGTGATTCCCTTGATGCTGCAGGAGCAGTTCCAGCTGCTCATTGACAATAGCTATTCCAAGGTTCTGCAGGGTCATTGTTGCTCTATGACCTTGCGCTGCAGCGCTAATTGTTTGGAGGTGTTACATCCACAGCGGTACAAGGCACGGAGCGTGCTTATGCTCAGCTGCCTTTTGAAGCATACCCACTTTGCTGGCAGGCGCCGAAGGGAACCGAGGTGTTTGGGCCAACCCGTCAGGAGGAAGTCATGCAGGCACGGCGAGGCAACATGCAGAAACACGAATACTTGTTGAATGCTGTGTCGTAGGACAGCACTTGGTTTGTGGATGGACGACCCAACAACACCCAGATCCGTGCCATCACGGCTTCAGCAGGCACGGCGACCGGCCACCTTCTCTGCTTGCAGAGCAGAGCTTCCGTGCAGGTGCGACGGCGGTGGCGACTCCAGAGCCTTTGACCTTCACCAACGAGGAGAGCCGAGCCGACAGAGCAGAGCCGGGTCTCCCGAAACCCCTCCCCTCTTCTTCATCGAATCCTCTCTGCAGGACGAGGGTCTGCCAGGTCAGCTGTACCGCATTCGTGCGCTCCTCGGGGTATATGGAGTTTATCATATGTTTGTCTACTTTCCATGCCTTATGTGCAGAGGCCTGCATATTGCTGGCAAGTGGAGAACGGTCACATGGGCGAAAGCGAAAGAGGCCGTGGGAGCGGGAACAAAATCTACTAAGATCTGCCGCGGCCAAGCCGCTTGAAGGCTCCACAGGGCCTTCTCGCCCTGAAAGGACCCGAGGTCCGTCGGGACAAGCCTGAAACAGAGAGCCTTGAACCTGGGGGATCCGCAGGCCAAGTACTACGTCGCAGGGAGCTGGAATGTGCGAAGCTTGGGCACGTGCTCTTGCCCCTTGTCCACGATTCGAGTGCCGGAGATTTGCTGCTCGTGCCAGAACTATCGTTTCGAAGAGATGACGGCCGTGAGCGATGGAACCTACACGTGCGAGGTAAGTGCACAGATTTCATAGACTTGCGATCGCGAGGGACTGCAGCCAGTGTCTTTGAGGTGTCCCTGTCCTCTGGCCCCAATCGGTTCCAGATCACAAGAAATGGTGACTGGCACCAAGCGGCCTCGGACTGAGACCAGTGGCGACCCAGCGCTTCCTTGGTCAGCGGCTTTATTCGAATCCTTGCCCAGATTTTCCCAGTGTCACCAAATGCTGGTCCAACCGTCGGGTGCTTGGCAAACTTTCAGTGAGCAATTTAGCAGCAGGGCGAAGCCTGACGAGACGAGGTCGAGATCGAAGGGCCAAGCGATCGGAAAGATCGACACTGGCACGCGGCTGAATGATATTAAACATCGTGTCGCTTGCTGCAGACCTTGGGCAGGGGCCTCCCGTTCTCACGAGGTTAGTCAGCGCGACTGCCGGCGAGAAGCTGAAGATTACATTCCAGCGCACAATCGATGCGTCGGGCAGCAGCAAGATGAAGGCCATGCGCTTCATGAGAAACCCGAAATCTAGGCCATCCTAGTTTACAAAGCCATCTGCGACAGCAGACCCCCTGCGCTGTCAAAGGTGCTCTGGGAGAAGTTGTAAGAAGGCCGGGAGTTGCGGGCACATCCAGTCCTCCGTGGTTCGTTGGTCTTTGGCTTGACTCAGGACATGATCACTAAGGAGGTGAAGGTGAAGGTGCGTGCCGGACTTGGGCTTACAACATCGCCGTAGAACCCTACGATTTCCATGCTTCCGATAGCCAAAAAGCTGTGTTGCGTGTGCGCTTCGAGGGACGTGCAAACGTTCAAGCCACGGCCGGGTCACATCTCTTCAATGCCTTCATGTGCTGCAGCCTTTGCCAGAGTACTGAAATACAAGATGCCTATAGAGAAGCATGGGAGCCATGTGTATAATAACTGTATGAGTGAGATTCAAAGATGGCTTGGAGTGCCGACCCATCCAGCAGCTAGCTTTGACTCAGCCTGTGACTCACGGGGCATCGTCGCAAGCACTTTCAAGCGTCTTTGCCGGCTGAGCAAGCTCATCGCCATGACCCGGTGAGAGCATGGACGAGAGACCGGATCGAAATGAGCCCGGTTTTCCGTGGCCAGGAAAGAGAGAGGCTGGCTCGGGATCACGCCACAGCTATCAAACTGCATGCGTTAAGTTGATTTGGCCTGCTTCTTTACCATCCGGTCGTTAGCCAAGTCACACTGGATAGCAGTCAACCACACCTGAGTTGTGCAGCCTATGGGCTGTGTTTGCAAACCTGAAATGTTAAGACTTTTCCTTTGCGGAGGCGCGCGAGCTTCCCGGTAGCCTGGAGGAGCTGGGCATCCCGGACCTGCTAGGCGCGATTGGCAGAGGGGGATTCCGGACTCGTGTCCGCAAGCCTGAAGCTGGAGCTCGGATTCTTCTGCTCTTTCTTGTTCTGCTATTCTTGTGACGATGATGGTGATGAGTAGACTTTCAGCAGTCACTGGTAAATCAGGCATCTGTTGCCAGGGAGGCCAACCTGACCATCGCGATGCTTGCTCCCCTACTCCCGCCTGTTTAAGAGCAGCTCCGCATCCTGTTTCCATTGGCCCCGTAGGCGCATCTAAGAAATGGGCGTTGGACGGTGTGTTGCTGCATAAGTCTTCCCTCCCGGGGTCCTATTTTGGGCTCTGCCACATCTCCAGGCAAACGTTCGAGCGTCTGCAGGAGCGAACGTTCCCTCACGGCATGCGCCATCCTGACACAACGGGGCCAAAGTCTCGCGTTTTTGAGGCAACGAAACCCAACAGAGAGGCGCCCATCTTTGCGTGTGTCGCAAGTTTCAGGATGCTCTTTGCTCTTGTTTTTCAAGCGTGTGGGCTTGGCCTGCTATTTAGCCAAAGTGAGTCTCCTGTTTGTGGTGGGTCCCGCAGGGGTTGATTGGGGACGCATTGTCTCGTACGTCATCACCGATCCATCATCGCATTCCTTGCCGGACGCCATTTTGAGTGTTTCCACACGTTGTGAGGCCAGATTCTGTATCTGCGCTCGGAAAGATCTGCTTGCTCGAGGAAGAACGAGTTGCATGCGCCAAGAGTCCCAGCATCCTACTTTGCCCAGGCCGTGTTAAACCGGCGGTGCTTTTGCAGTGTATGTCAGCAGTTGAGTGCAATTCACTCCATCCAGATTTACTCCGTTCCGTGGGAACGATGCTGCGAGCAAACAGTCAAAGTATTCCTCGCAGGTTCACCATTCTAGTAGATCTGCATTCTTCGAAGTCGGTCAGTTGGTTCCCTCGGATACCCGCCTGACGGCCAAAAGGAAAACAAGACAAGTCGATCAGCTTGCAGGACAGGAAGGGACTGACCGTCCCCGGACAACTTACTATCCCAAGATCCGCTTCTGTTTCAAGAGCAGCAAATGGGCAAGTCAAGCCGAGCAATGGCAAACACGGGCTCCACTTGCGTGAGCACACATAGTCATACCGAAGTCTGGCGAGGAATGCCGAGGAGGGGCTCGTAAGTCACGGCTTGCGCTCGAAGGTCCCCTGGCACCCCTCGAGCCACCGGGCAGGTTGGGTCGTCTTCATGGGCCATGATTCGGCTGCTCTGTGCGACGGGATGGGGCCGGATTCATTTTGCTCCGCAGGCCGGGTTCCGCACCGCCAAATCTCGATCCTGATGGAGGCAGCTCGATATTCCTCGCGTGGAGCGCCTGGAGCGACCCTGTTGCGACTCCGCCGGCAGGCTATCCCTTCCAGGCATTTGAGGCATCTCGGCGGCTAAGAACCTGCTGCCTTTGTCGCTTTCGGGATTTTTGGGGGGCTGTCGGGCTTTTTCTCAGGCGTTGGAGCCCGGCACGCACGGTTTGGATGGACTGGCAATCACGGACCTCTTAGGCAGGACCAACTCTCAAGACAGCTTTTGAGAAGGCTTTTTGGTGCTTTAAACGAAGGTTCGATGCCTCTGCAGCTAGAGCCTCCGGGCAGGCCTGGACTGGGCGTGAGACTGTACAATCAATCACATCTCTCTTCCTCTCGCCTCACGCAGACCGGGTTCGGCACCGCCCATTCTCCATCCAGACGGTGGGGAACAGCGTGACTCTTCTTTGCATGCGCTCTTCGTGAGTCAGAGCTCGAGCTTCTGCGAGGCTTCTCCCCTTTCTTAGAGACTGCGGCGACCTTCGAGGCGGAAGCCTCGTCTCCCTCGGCTTCCTCCGTATCCTGTGAGCCGCTTTGCAGGCGGCCCGCAAAGCGGCGTACCGGGAACAGCTGGAGTTGCCAAGCAGGCCACGGTCCGCACCACTTGAGGAGGTTCCCCGGCTGCTGCAAGTTGAGAAGCACTCCGTGCATTCTCCGAGTGAGGGATTTACCGTATCTGGCCAGGAGATAGTCAACGTGCTGCGGGAGGAGGCCGCTGGGAAGGCTTCTGAACCCATCGCGCGTGAGCGAGCATCTCCTGCGCCAGGCGTTCCGGATGGATCCTCGAGAGAAAGACCTCTTCGCCTTCCAGGTTCCATTTGGCTCTCGGGTTCCGCTCGGAGGGAGAGGACAGAGCATCGCAGGCGGCGGCAGTGGCGCCCCCCCGGTCGCCGTCGCCCTTTATGGGAGAAGGCCAAGGCCCCCCCCCCCCCGAACCAAAACCCGCTGTCGACTCGACTCTCCGGCCTGGCCTCCAGGCGATCTCCAGCGCCAGCGGGCGCTCTTCGGCCTGGCACCTGCAAGAGCTTTGCAGGTGCCAGCAAGTGCAGCCAAGCAGAGCCGGTCCTTGAGCCCTTGGAGCCCTTTGCGTGCTATGCCTGGCTATGCCTGGCCATGACGTGCAGGCAGCCGCGGCGCTGGAAGCAGCAGCCTGGCAAAGCGTAGATTAGATGGTGGATCTATGTGGATCTCGTCGACCCCTTGGTGAAGCATCGTTGCCTTTGCCGCCTTTGCCTTCTAAGGACCGCTACACTCCACCACCCACGCAGGCTGCTTGCTGAAAGCTAGCTCCGAGACTTTTGGGTTTGACGAGGACCTCTGAGAGAGAGAGAGAGAGAGACGCGAATCCAGGAATGTCTGGACTCTGTTGCGTCCGAGGTTCACCCCAGCTTGCTGTCGCAGGCACAGCTGTCTTGGCTGAAGGAGTGCACAGCACTTCCACGCATTCGCCAGTCTCCGGTGCCTCACTCGCAGTCGCCTGCTTTCGGGGTGCCCCTGCCCTGATTAAACGTGACACTCAGCAGTTGCTTCAGACTTGAGATGCCTCTGCCTTTGTGCAGTCTCCGGGTTTGCACGGCCCCGTCACGCAGCCAGCTCAGTTCCAGCGAGCGGGGCCGGAAATGGGCACAATGCAACTCTCCAAGGCACCAACCGTTCGGCGACGATGCACCTGCCCTTCTGCATCCCGGTGTGCAGTCCTCAGTTTTTGCGTGGGTGGATCGGGTCGGATCGGTCAAGGACGGCTTGGCAGCTCAGCAAGCGAGGCTGTTCGGGCCTTCGATCCCATCAACCGGCCTATTTCGGCACCGCCTGCCCCAGAGTCCAGTCCGGAAGGGGACCAGGCGATCAGACAACTCGCGGCCTGCAGTGACGGCAGTGATCGCACGATGTTGGCGTAGAGGCAGAATACTCTGGGGACATTCGTTCCAAGCTCAGAAGCTTCTCAGGTCACACTCTGCACAGCTTTTCATCACCAGCGCGTAGGTTTCCTGGAGAAACGAGGCTGTGATCCCCTTTACCGGCATTTCTGGGAGATGAAGAAAGGGCAGAACGCCGGACCCTGCAGCACTGACACTGACATTTGCAAGGGAGCTTTAGCTGGCTTCGAGGTCAACTTGCCGAAGCCCCTCGACCCTTGTGAGGACGAAAGCAGCCTTGCCAGATCTTGTCACCGACGACGGACCTACGTGATAAAATTGACCTTTCAATCTGCGCTAAACCCCCAACACCCTGTGGTGCTCAGCCTGCTCCAAGGCCCGGGCTCCTGCAGGCGTGAAAACAACCTTAGCAGCCTTAGCAGATCTTAGCAGATCTTAGCAGCAAGTCCGGCAATGAACATTTATAAGGCTTTTGAAGGCTCCCTCAATTTCCAGACTCGAGCCAGATGGCAGGAGATCGCCAATCACCGGCCCGGCTGCACAGGGCAAAGGCCTCGGTGAACCTTCCTCGCATTGCACACTACCACATTGCACAGGTCTGAATTCGGGCAGTCGCAGCTGGCCTCGGACATGCTGGAGCACATGCCAGGCTCTGGCAACAAGGGCTTGCACGAGCGTTTTACGGGTTGCCAGCATCACGACGATAAGCGAAAGCTGCGCCGTCTGCCAGCTCAGCCACCGCTTGGTCTTGGCTTCGTGCCGGCGCACGTCTGAGCTGCGTTGACATAAAAATAATCCGAATCCTAAACCCGCATCGCGCGCTCGCCGACTCGCCGACTTGCCAAGGCCACGGGCTTCTCGACACCCTACGGACATGTGCCCAGCGACTTGGCTTAGGGGCTTTCTTCTCTCTCCGTCCCTCTTCTCTTCCTCTTCGGCGGTTCGCAGGAGGCTGATTCACCGCTACCCCACAAGAGAGAGAGGCATATTGAAACCTCTTCGGTTGCAAGGATCGCCATCGCCGCCTTGGGACAGCAGGCACCAGCCGGAGCATTCCGAAGTTGTTGTCTTTGCCGCAACATTACGAACACGGCAGCTGCGTGGTCTTCCTTCGTAAATACCATCTGATCAAACCTTTGCTTCGTTTTAGGGCTGGCGTGGCTCAAACCGTAGGCAGACTCCGTGAATGGGCCCTTTGATATCATGGGTCAGAGCCAGTCCCTCACGGCGCCATGCTGCGCAACGAGGGAACGCCTGAACTCCGATTTCAAGGCACCGGCAGAATATGTCGGCGAGTTGATCTGTACTGGTCCGCTTTTGAAGGTGAGTGGGAGCACAAGTCCGCTGCTGAATCTCGGTGCACTTTCGTGGGTCTCTTCAGCTTGTATCTGATCCAAAGCAGCGCCTCCTCAGGACAGTCTCTTCCTTGAAGTATAAAACAGGCGAGAGCACAGACGAGTGGGCCTGTGCCTCGGTGGTCAACGGGTGGTGCACAGGTGGGACGGTCCCAGACTGCAACTCTGGCATCGGAGGCGGACGACGTCGAAGCCGGGTCGCCGTCGTCCCTTCGACTGATGAAAAACGGCGGGCAGCGCCGGAAGCGGTTGTTTTTTAAGCGACGGCCGAGCCGAGGCTCGCAGAGGCGGAGACGGCCCCGGAGAGCGAGTGCCAGTTGGCCGCGGCGTCAGCGGCAGCAAAGGCGTCAGAGCTCTTCACTCCGTGGCGGTCTGAGGCTTCTGGAACAGTACAGACAGAGCCCTCTGGAGGCTACCTGCCTTGCCTTTCGGTTCAGGAATCTTCTTTAGCAAGGCTCCTTGAGCTTACGCTCCAGGCTGTTGCGCTGAGGAGACGGACAGGCAGGAGAAGCCTCCGCCGTTTTGTGTTATGCTGTTTCCGCTGTGCCGTATGGTCAGGTGTTGCCAAAGGCGCCTAGTGACGTTTCAAGCAGACGAGCCGCCAACGCACAAGCCTCAGCCAAACGCGACGCGGCGCATTCTCAAGCTGACCCGGCTTCAGAGGACGGCTCCTCAAATGGCAGCCCTGCGGCAAAAGCCCGCGACTCCTCGATTTCCAGCCGCTTGGCGACGCGCTGCGCAGAGAGCTCCTGGCCTGGCCGAGCACGCAGTGCATGTACAGCAAGGAATCTCCATCTCATGACGGAATTCAAAGCAGCCTGCGCTCCGATGGAGGCGAGGCCGCGAGGCTTCGGCGCGAGAGGAGTCTGGAAGTGACGCATTTTTCCCGAGGCCCACTGCGCCTCCACGGAATGTTCAGCAGCAGCCAAGTCAGCCAGGCCAGCTGCAAATTTGCCCAGCACGGACAAGGGGTGATGGCAATAGTGCCCGCAGGATCACCGAAAACATCGCAGCCAGACGCAGTCAGAACCACCGATTAGGTGGGAAGAGCTGCAAACAAGAACCTCTAGGAACATCTTGCCGTGCTCAGACACGCAGGGAAGGGATGGTCGCAGGCTTCGTCGTGTTTCCAAGAATCATGCATGAAAGAAGATCTTTGGAATTGAGCTGTGCCGGTGCACAGGGTTCGTGATGGCAGCAGCGAGAGCATCATGGTTTGCAGGCTTGAGGGGCGAAAGTTCATGACACTGTGACTCTTGATTTGCACGAGCGGGTAGAAGCCGTTAGTCGCATGACGCCTGGCGAGGCATGGTTGCTGTCGGGCTTTTCGTCCCGATGGAGTTGCAAAAACTGACAGGCTGCGTGCCTTGAAACACAGGGCTCGGTCCGGTCGGCGGTGTTAAGCACATGGAATGGTGAAGCGCTCCCCCTAGGCTTGTGCACATCATTCGAAGGGAGACTTGCCTGCCTTATTCGCTGCACGAAAGTAGGGAAATCCACGGCAAAGATGCGGTGCATCACTCCAAGGAGCGGCAAACTCACAAAAGAGTGCTTGACTTCCTTGCTGAACATGGCTTCAAAGGCTTGCGAGGGGCGCTCGTCGACGGTGTTTGAAACTGTGATCGATCTTGTCGAGGCGTGAATGATTCTCGACGCCAATCCCTAGGTCGGGCTGTCGATTTCAGACCGCGAAGTGTACGAAGTCTCGATGCAGGCTACCCTCGTTGGTTCCCTTTGCATGCAGCGGTGAGTCAGTACGACGCAGAAATGGTTCAGCTCCAAGCATCTTCTGGGATGGTGCACAGGGCGGAGATCCTGAAGCTCTCAAGGTCAGAATGCTGCTGCGCATGGGTGCAGACCCTTCCAGGCAGAATGTGTGGAAGGAAGCTGCGCTTTGGGTGCTCGGGACGTCTCGCCGACCCAGGCGCAATGGCAACGGTCTGACGGCGGGTGAACTTGCCTTGCGACGGTGCCTAAGATTCCCAAGAGAACTAGACATGATGAATCTGATGGTCTCCACTCGTCAATCTCCCCAGGTCAAACCAAGAAGGGCGAAAGGCGTGCTTTTGATGTGCTTGCAGCCGCGGCCCTGGTGGCCAACCTGCAACCTGTGTGCAGTGTAGGTTTACCAGTCTTCATGCATGCATGCCCGTGAACATGCATACACATTTACCTGGTTCGTGCAATGTACATAGGCACACATGCCGATGAACACTATGCATATAAGCGGAGTCATGTAACTCTCATAATAGCCATACACTTACTTGTATGTCTTATTTCTGAACACACACACACAAACACATGCACACACACACATACATACATATATATATATATGTATATATACATGTTTATGTTTGCACATACACACACACACAGACGTACTTACCTACATGCGTGCGTGCGATATATACATATATATATATATCTGTGTGTGTGTGTGCGAGAGGCGCCTCTAGGGTCCATTCGACGCTCTATTTTTTCCTTCGTGATTAGAGAGAACATAAATAATTCAAATAATTGAAATATTTGAAATCAGCAGGGCCGATTTCAACTATTTCAATTATTTTATTTATTTGGCTCACCCAAATAATTGAAATAATTGAAATCGGTGGGGTTGGTGGCTTAGCCGCCAATTCCACCGAGTTCAATAATTGAAATAGTTGAAATATTTCAATTATTTCAATTATTTGGGATGGCCAAACAATTGAAATAATTGAAATCGCTCCCGTTTCAATTATTTCAATTATTTCATCTAATTGAAATCGGTGGGATTGGTGGGGGGGGGGTGGGGGCTGGGGGGGTGAGGCTGGGGCTGGGGGGGTGGGTGCTGGGGGGGATGAGGCGGTGTGGAAATTCCGATCCTCATGTATAGCGTTTGTGCACTGACTGCAGCGGAAGGCATTTTTAAGCTTTCAAGTACTTAAGCAACGGACAGCCTGGTGAAGTTGTACAATAGGCAGATGCATGACATCAAGAGTCCAGAAGCTTAGACAGGTCTTTGAGTGAGAAAAAGTGATCCCGCGAGTGTGCAATGGAGGGCGCATCGACTGCATAAGCCCTTTAGCTGCTCGCTGAAGCTTCGTTTACGAACTTCTACAGGTTATGTACGCCCAAGTGCAGGGCGACTCCGCTCAGCAAGCTGGAACCACTTACGGAGCTGTGACCGAAGGCCCTGGGCTGCCGAATGGTGTGGTGCAGCAGCAGGAACCTTCAGCCCCACTGGAATCGTCGTTGTCTTCTGCATTGGAGAACCCGAATACCGGGGAAACGACGTTGCCAGTGGATAGAACTGGAGTGGCTACTGTGCAGATGATACCGCAACCAGTCGAGCCTCCTTACGGAAGGGAACCGCATGAGGGCGCGAACGTTATAACACGCACGGATCCAGAACCGATGACTGCCCCATCTGGTTTTCCTTCTCCGCCGACACCAACGAGTGAAGTACATGTACAACGGGAGTTCTTTTCGGCCCAGTCTGGACCTTCCGGAGCAGAGGTGCAAGGTGTTCGGTGGATCGCACGTTTTACGGAATATGTGAGGTCTACAGCCAATCGTGGTGTCCAGGGCTTTGACAGGAGCTTCCTGGAACGGCAATGATTGTGCCTCCGGCGCCGAGTTCATGGACAAGGCAAATGCCAGTGGCCGAAACGGCCCTTCTGTTTGGCCCATCGGAGCTGATGCAGATGAGGAGATCCCAAGCAGAATTCCCTTTGCTGTATGGACCTTCGCAGAGGTCAGATGGAGGATCAGAGTCTTCCTCTCGACTGCAGGCCGAGGTGCAGAGGCAGCTCGAGGAATACAAGGCAAAGCAACAAGGGGAGTTGGAGAGATTACAAGTGGAAGTGGTGCGCCTGCGAGAAGAGAGGGACAGGGAGAAGGCATTGCGATACAGAGAACTACAAGGTGGATTGCGTCACCAGGTTCCAGGAAGGAGGCAATCATGGTCCACTACCTCAACGTGATGCTGGAGCCTACAGCCTTGAAGTACCTCAGGGTCAGGGTGTGCCAGAAGGGAATCAGGGTCCACTACCTCAACCAAGGCGACCCGAACCCCGAACCACACCACACCACAGGGGTGCGGAGGGACTGAAAGCAGACCCAAACCCCGAACCACACCACACTACAGAAGGGCGGGACTCCAAGCAGACCCAAATCCCGAACCACACCGCACCACAGGGGGGGAGAAGGGGTACCAACCATTGGGGGGGGGGGGGCGAGGGGGGCGGACCCGGCGGAACCGGGATCACATACATACATACATACATACATACATACAAACATACATACATACATACATACACTTATACACTTACATACTTACATACTTACATACTTACATACTTACATACTTACATACATACATACATACATACATACATACTTACATACATACTTACTTACATACTTACATACATACATACTTACATACATACGTACATACATGTATGCATACATATGTGTATACATATGCATACGAATACGAAGTCAACACCAGCCCAGGCTTCACACCATGGACCCTTTCTCGCTGCTTTGATAAACCTTGTCGACCACATCTTGCAATAGCTGCTGTACAACTCGACATCTCTACGACACTCTCATAGGAGCGTGTCTGGGGCCTCTTTTGGGGCCGGGGAGGCACCCAAACGCGATTCGAAGGCCCTGAAACACCCAAACTGGCCAAGCCACCAGCCTCAAGTAAACAAACCCCAAACCCTAAACCTTGGGCTTCGTCGTGCCAGGAACCTCGCCTAGGCAAGTCCGAGTGTGAGTGCTGAAACCCTAAACCCTTAAATGCCAGACCCTACGCCCCAGACCCAACTTTATTGAACAAAAACCCAAACCCTAAACCCTAAGCCTTGCACCCTGAGATGAGACCCCAAAGCCTCCGACGACTAAACCAAGCGTAAGTTAGCAGTGCCGAAACCCAAATTTCGCGCAAACCGAAGCTATGGCCCATAAGTGCGTATTAATATGTATATATCTATCACACGTATTTATATATATATCTCTCTCTCTCTCTCTCTCTACATGTTTACATATATATATATATACATAGATACTGAAAGTCCCAGAAACATTTAACAGAACAGACTAGGATATAATCGAAATGCATAGGACAACATACTGCAACATAGCATGTTTCAACACACTACAATACCATGCACCATAACAGGATATATCATGATATAACACATTATAGTATAACATGACATGACACCATAAAATGATGCCACAAAGCAGACTAGAGTACAAAAGACAATAATCGTACTATCATCTTTAATGTTATCAAATGTCGTATAATACAAAGGCTCATACAAGGCTAAAATTGGGTGAGCAACGAAGTTGCTACTTCTCAGGTACACAGCCTCCCGCAAGAAGCTTTTGATGAGTTGGAACAGGGGCGTACTGTAGGGGTTTCACAGGTTTTAGGACTGCGTGAGGGTTCCTACAAAGTTTGCAGGTGCAGAAAACCAAAAATGCAAAACCAACCACACCAAAAGAAACACTACCAAAACAACACATTATCCAATAACCCTCGTAATAAGACTGTGCTAGGAATGTTTGTTGTTGTGGTTTTATTATTTTGTTGTTGTTGTTGGTGTTGTTGTTGGTTATGTTGTTGCTTTTGGTTTCGTTGTTTTTGTGTTGTTTGGCTTTGGTTGTTCAGTTCTTTTGGTTTGATTGTTTCGTGTGCCTTATTTTTTGGTCCTCTTCGTCTTTCTGGTTGTATATTTTGGTTACACATGTTTTGAACCAGTACATGTGCAGCAGATGCTGCGAAACTACCTTGTGGGACATTCGGCTTGACAGAAGACTTTGGCTTTTGGAGTGTTATGATATGATAGTTCTTTGTTGTTTTGTCGGCATAAGAATGTAAGAACCGCCTCAAGATCCTCGCCTTCGCATTGTACCTGCTGCACCAGCCGAATGGGAAGTTGCATTGATACCTTACAGGATTATCGCTCGAATGGTATATTACATCTTTTGCCCGGTTTTTTGTTTTATAATTATTCCTGTCACCGTCACGTCATCGGCATCCTCAGGTTCAACCGTTTGGCACATCCGGAATATCCTCTTCACGTTGTCCCGCTTGTATGGCGAGCAACGTCTGAGTGAGGCTGAAATGTTTGCGCTGTCACAGTGATGTTGTGGCAAAGTCACAACAGCAACAACCTAAGGTTTTACAATTTCTCCGCACATCAGACGAAGGAAGCTTTTGGTTCTATCCGTCTCAACAGAGGCTGTCATGTCGGGCTTCCGCAACGAGGCCGGTGACTACGTTGCGGCTCTCACTTCTGACGAGGCGTGCGGCCAAGTCATCAATAGGCATAATCTGCATCATGAGAATAGGGCTGTGCGGCCGTTCGGACAGGGCTCTGGGAGATGTATTTGTGGGTGATTTACCCGTTCGTCACTTGAGTTCGTCCGCAACCAAATTGGAGCAATTCGCAGACTGCCTCATGTAGTCGGTGTGAATCTCTACAAGATCTGCCGCGGAGGCAGGTACGCCCAACTGCCCGCCCCGTTCTGCTTGCGCGAGGACCCTACCGCGCCGCACACCATGCAAATCAGCATCCAATCCACCCAACCACCGGCAGATGGAGATGCTGAGTGCACTTATTTCCACATCTTCAAGCACATCTACCTCCATTGCAACAAGATCCCTGCCAAGGATTGCGTGGAAATGTGCCAAGGCAATCCTCTCCGATTTGACTGGGGTTCCCAAACTCATCTAGCACTGATGGGCCTCAATTTCAGGATGGACAAAACGGGTGGGAGCAACTCCGTCATTGGGTCATCGAGGATGATTCCATTGTTCTTTGCATATTCCGATTAACACCCACATGATCTGCAAAATCAAAGCTTGCACAGGGTCGTACTTTTCCTTCCCTGATAGGAAGCGGATGCCTCGGTGTGAGCACACTACTGGTCTGCGCAATTTCATCAAGGATCCGAGCGACATGCTTGCGACAATCCTTATGACCGCAAGACCGACGACGAGATGTTCGCTATGATGCACAGGGGCAAGTTTCGATTTTGGAAGATCCCGTACGACAAGTTTCTACAGCTCATCGAACCATCTTCTTGTGCAGTCGAAGACCCGGAGGACATGGATGCAATCATGGTACACACTCACCTCATTGTCATCAC